TCAAAGACCCTTAAGGTAAATAACCTCCTCTTCTTTAAGTGATGGTCCCTATTATATTCCACTGTGGGTGACTGCAATACCTAAAGTGGGAGAGGGTGTGAGAATGAGGACAGACAGGTTGTGTAGACCATCACTCCAAAGGAGGTATCACTGTGACTTGCCCCAAGGTGTAATGTATTGTGAACATGTGGACAGAACTCGACATGGATATTCTACCTACACCTATCAAAGGGATGTCTTTAAGGGATGCCATAGTAATTGCGTGCAATTTAGTGGAGTAAGCATATACCCCACTAAAAACAAATTCAACAGCTGGAAATGGAGTTGAATGCAGCCAGAAATCCAATGGGAGATTTTCTGGATGGAGAAGGCCTGTCCACTGACACTCTATGCTACCACAACAAACAGTCTAGGGGACATCCTGATTGTTTTTGTTCTCTGAAGGTAAAAGTCCAAAGCTTGTCAGACATCGAGCGAATGAAGTCTATATTCTCCTGTAGACATATATGGTTTTGTGAAGAAAAACAGCTAAGTGAAAAGACCGATTAATATGAAAGTGGGAAATGACTTTTGGGTAAAAATGTCAGATGTAGAGATAAGGAGATCCTATCCTGTGGAATATTGTAAATGGCATGTCTGCCACCATTGCTTCCAGTTGACTAATCCTTCTCCCTGAAGTGATAGCAACAAGGATGGAGATCTTCATGGAGATGAGGGAAATGGTACAAAACACCATTAGTTCAAAGAAGAATTTTCATAATACTGAGTACCAGTTTCAGTTCCCATTGACACACAATCATTTGGAGAGGAGAGCACATTGGTAGGAGGCCTTTCCAAAATCTAGAATTAGCATAAAAACAGATTAACCCTCCATACATGGATGTACTATGCTAATCATCACCAGTGGACTCACAAAGAGCTGAGGGAGAAAACCAATGTCTTTAAAGACAGAATATAGTCCAGGATTAAGAAAACTCTGCAGCTTCTGGAATAACACCTTTATGTTATACCCAATATGAAAAGAGTTTCCTTTTAGTCCAATAAAATTGTCTAGTGAATCTTTCCTACTGTTAGAATATCCTGTACTGCAGTGCTGATGAACTTATATATTTTATGGTTGATGTCCTACCAAATACCATGATCTGAGGTTCAGTAATTGTGAATTGGGTGAGAAGATCAGGGAAGTTCAGGATGGTAGTCAGTGGAGAGGATGACATATGCAGCAGACTAGGGAACCAGAATTGTCTGGAACTGAGGGTGGCAATCAGAGTGACCTGCCGTTTCTCACCAGATTTTGTATAGTACCTAGAAGTAGGAGCAGTAGTGGATGGAAGGGGTAGTTTAGTTGGTCTAACCGGGAAAGAAGGAGAGTATCACCCTGGGAGCAGTAACCAAGGGCATTCTTGAGCAACATATTGGCATACGTGCAGTTTGCCTGAGAAGTGAACAGGTCTCTGTTTGGGGACTCCCACGGCGCGAAGATGCTGTATAGTATTTTTGTCATGTTCTCACTCACGGTCAATTGTAAAGAGTTTGCTGAGTGAATCAGCAAGCATATTCTCCATCCCCAGAAGACAAGCTGTAGACAGAGTGATCTGATTGCTGATGAGCCGGTTCCAGAGATTGATTGCAACTGCACACAGAGCGGTGGATATCGCTCTCCTTTGTATACTGATGTAGAAAACAGCGGTGGTGCTGTCTGAAATTATCAGGATTAGAGAATGAGTGGAACAGTAAACACCATCTTTACTGTTTGAAGTTCTAGGATATTGATAGTCATCCTGAATCCCATATCCTTTGGGTCATACATTTGTCCATATGAACTACCGAGCCTAGCATCCATGCATACATCAGTGATGACCTTGGCGAGAACTGTCAGCATGAGATTCGTGGAGTAGCGAATCACTGAGTATATGAACTGCAGCTCAGTCAGAAGGCAATGGAGGTGAAGTCTTGCAATGAGGGGGTGGTCACAAGTGCAAAAGGCCATGTGGTCAAGCACAGACAGACAAGTCTGGGCTGAAACATCAGGGTTGCTCATGATGCAAACTATGATGTTGTTCATATCCTGAAATCTGTCTGTGAGCGGATAGGTCTGTGCCAAGACAGAGTTTAGGGAATCCCAGAGTTGGGAAAGAAACTGGAAGCAATGATGGAAATGATTACTTGTCTCTCCTTTATGCAAGTCCCTGCATGAACCAATGAATAGTATTTTCAATTTCTTTACCTTCTAATGTTAACACAAAGCCACTTGTGAATTAAAATATTCTGAAAAGCAGATTAGACCCCAAGGTAGCATTTCAAAAACAAGGTCTTTTTAAACTCCTTCTATTCCTAAATTCAGTATAACCTTCATTTTTGAGCTACAGGCAGTCCCCGGGTTACGTACAAGATAGGGACTGTAGGTTTGTTCTTAAGTTGAATCTGTATGTAAGTCGGAACTGGCATCCAGATTCAGCCGCTGCTGAAACTGACCGCCAGTTCTGACTTACATACAGAATCAACTTAAGAATCCCAGGTGTCCCCAAGTCAGCTGCTGCTGAAACTGATCAGCAGCTGATTCCAGGAAGCCGGGGCAGAGCAACTCTGCCTCGGGCTTCCTGTAGTCAGCGCTGGTCAGTTTCAGCAGAAGCTGACTTGGGGACGCCTGGGGCTGAGCAGCTGGGGTGCTGCTGGGTTGCTCCAGTAGCGCCGCTCCTCGGCGCTACTGGACCAACCCAGCAGCACCCCAGGTGCTCTGCCCCAGGCGTTCCCAAGTCAGCTGCTGCTGAAACTGACCAGCACTGACTACAGGAAGCCCCAGGCCGAGGTGGTCCGCC